GCCGAGTTCCAAGTTCTGAGTTCTGGGTAAAAAATACCGAGTTCCCTGAATCAAGTACCTGCCCAGACCTCAATGCCTGGACCTCGGTAATTGATACCCGGAACTCGGTATTCTTTGCCCGGAACTCGGTACATGGTCATTTGTTCAAATTACTCGGTGAACCACAGAATCTTTGACCACATTAACATCACATGTAAATTGAATACCGATTGAATAACATTGATAGTGACATATGAGACAATGGTACATGTACATTACTTTTTGCCCCTTGCTCTAGTAACTCTGTCAGATGGTTGTTGCACTGACTTACTCCGAGTTGTTCTCGCCGGTGCCTCAATCGCATCTTTCTTCCTCCGGAAGCTCTTCGGGGCTGGCAGTGGAACTTCATGTTCAACATCGCCAGGGTCCTCAGCCTCACTCTCGGATTCGGTTGATGAATCCCGAGGTCTCCGGATCATCACCCTCTTACGCTTCAGATGAGGAGGTGATTTCTCAGATGCAACGGTGAGTCTCTTTTGTTACCGAATCTACGTCGGTGATATTAAAAACTCCAAGCTGGAAATACACCCAGTCATTTGTGATGGACGGAAATTTCAAAGCCGAACACCTGCATCCCATCAAGCCATATGATGAAGTATGGCTCTCCGATGGGTTGGGGTTTATGGTGGGAAAGGAAAGGTATCAAAAGCATCTTGAAGAGGCTGCTGACACTGTGGAAAAATCGAGCTGCAACAATCATCGGGCTGTCAATCAAGCAAATGCAGCTCGGCACAAGCTGGAGTCCACCGGCATCGGGGGAGTAGCCTGTGGCTGACACGGTTGCTTTGTCCCTCACTCAATGGTAGATTTCCAGAAAGGCGAAAGGCAAGCCGGACATGCCATTCAACATTCCTGAGTTGACCGTGCATCATTTGCAGACAAATGAACATGGACTACGCACTTTGTGAGGCTGCCCAGCACAACATGGATGGGATTACAAGGGCTGTCACCTTCTATGACATTAACTGTCAATACAACAAGCACTTGCGTGTTTGGGTGGATCAAGGCCGATTTCTGACAATGGTTCCAGAATTGACCATCATTCCCTGGAATCGGGCTGTGACACATCCACAGACATCAGGATAGCTGCTATGTCAGATATGCGTCAAATTTCATTGAAGGCATTGGTTGCATTGATGGAGAGATCATGGAGACCCTATGGGCACGTCTCAACCTGATTTCTCCTGCTGCTCGGGGAATGTCTTCCCCGCATTGGAAGGAATGTCTTGATTTCCAGATGAATGATTCCAACTTTTGCAAGATGATCCGCATGAAGAGGACCCTTTGCTGGAAATACAAGCAGGTGAAGACTGGCATTGCTGAAAGTGGAAAGGCTTTCGACAGACTCAACAAAGCCGCACCGGCCAACTTAAAGACAGACTGGTTAGCAAGTGAGAGGATCGCTCAGTCCAACAGAATACAAGATCCAGCTGCGATGGATATATATGAGATTAATATCAAGAAGGGTGAGATCACTCTGTCTCGATTGAAGTCTGAATTCATTTTGAACGTAGCACCGAGCAAAAAGGAGATAGAGCTTAGACTGCTGCAGGAGGGTAATGCCCGTCATGCAGCACCCTCTCGCAGATCTGTGGCAACATGGATATCAATGGGCCTGGCAATTGAAGAGGCTCAAATTGCATTGCACATCGAGGTCCGAAGAATAGGAAAAAGAACTACTGAGACTCAGAGATTAGACATCGCCCGGCAACGCGATCGTCTATAAGGCCAGATAGATGCATTCACTCAGACTGCTCTGACGCATCTGGGAGAGGGATTTGATGCAGATGACGACCCTGACGATTTGAATATAGACATTCTCAATGATCTCGATGATGACCTGGAGGATTTCATCAGGAAGTCCGATACATGGACAAACTCCCCCGAGCTCACTGTCATCCCATTGCCATCAAACCTTGGGGTAGATCGATCCAAACGTTGTATGGCAGAGGATCTGATTCCGCTGGAGTTGTCGCTTCGTGAAGGACAGGCCAATGATGCCCTTCATAACCTCCGAATTCACTTGTGCAACAAGGCAATACTCTTCCGAACAACAGTCAGGCAAGCCAAATCTCAAGCATTGAAAACCCGAGCTTGGTCCCAGGTGACATCAGTGCAGCAGGCGGTGTCCCTCCATGCCAGCATATATACCAAGACAAGGAAGCAAATGATGAAACTTGAGCCAGGCCAAGACCAGCTGGAAAAATATAAACCCCTGCTTCAGGAGCAGCTCAAAATCAGCACGGCCGTCGGCGATCCTAATGCCCGAGGTCAGCGAAATGAGTCTCTCGCTTGGTTCTGGTCTATCGAAGTAGATTTGGGGGGTCCGGATCACTCGTGGAATGAGGAATGTGAGTTCCAGCTTGCTTGACAAATGCCTGCAATCTGAGCGGACCCACGTGAAGTTTACCGAGTTCATTGGCTTCAGGCAAAGGCACTACGGGATCGATGGAAGGAAGAACTGATATTGGTGGAATTGGAGATGGATTGGATGTGTAATTTCTTCTTGTGGAAATCAACGCAATGGGGCGACCGGATGAGGGAATCATTGGTGAAACACCTTCCGGGTCATGCTTGCTACTCCAGAAGGCAATCCCAAATGTATTCATTACTGGTGCAGGATGCTCAGGCAGCGTTTCAAGACCTGCAGAGCATGTTAATAGATGCCTGAGATGAATGAATTATGAATATGTTCTGCTGATATATGATTTGATCCCAACAATTGAGTCTCGGCAAGGGGCCGGGTCAGCCCATGTCGGAGTTTGAATTATTTTATCAATCCATCAGTGGATCCCATCTGAAAAAACCATCATTATCATTGCTAGCGTCCTACTCCTGCATTGCCCATGTCTGATTTAAATTCACCTCCTGAATCCACTTTTGCACCTCCTGCATCCACTTTTGCACCTCCTGCATCTACTTCTGCCACTGAGGATTCCGGCACTGATTATAAACCCCCCACAATGAGTCTTGCAGATATTGCAGTTACATTGGCAATGGCTGTATCGCGCGTTCAAGCCTGTATCAGTCAATATCAGACAGAGGCTGCTGAGAACAATGTTCCTTTGGCTCAGATAATGTACTTTCAAGCCAGAATCCAATGGGAGATCACTGTAAGCCATCAAACAGATGACTGTGGTTGGGAATATGCTGAGATTGCCAACAGACTTTTGTGACACCGATTCTGCAGTACTCAGCTGCAAGGAACATAATTTTGGTTATGCCACCCCCGATCGCTCATATTCTTCACTTGTTTCCTCAGCTCACATGGAACGCGGTTCCAGACCACATCTTTTCATCCCACTTATCCGAGTTTCGTCTGGTCTGGGATCACAGAGAACCCTCCCAGATTGTATCCTCCTATGATACTCCATGGTGGATGGGGGACACTACAATCCCTAACCAACCATGGCAATGGGATCGGGTAATAGATTCCTGTCACTTTCACTACCAGCATTGGCTAGTAAGCATTATACCCAACTTCCTTGATAGATCACTAATCCGATCTAGAGCGGTGTTGAGGACAATGGTTTCATCCTTCCGGAGCAGCTGGACGGCACCCTGGCTCCATCACTGGTGGGACCAAAGTGGATTAGGGAATGCCTGGTGTTGTTGATTCAGGACCATCAGGAGGGCATCCGTGATAAGATGGTGGAGATTGATATGTACACTGACACCCTAGCCCGGTTGAAGAGAGCCAGAGGGGATGATCCCTATTAAATGTTAGTGTATCAAATGTTCATGCCCTTTAGACGTATGTTGTACAGATCTTTGACTCAATGTTGAGTTCCGGGTATCGCGTTCTGCGTACCGGGCATGAGGCACCAAGGTTAGGAACTAACATAACTATGGTCCGGGTGTCGAGTACCAAACACTGAACACCGAACACCGAATACCGAATGCCGAGTATCGATGTCCGGGTATCAAGTTCAGTGTTACAAGTTCCGGGTACCGAGCATCGACCATTGAGTTCCAGGTATCGACCATTGAGGTCCGGGCATCAAGTGCCGGGTGTCGAGTACTGACCACCAAACAGTATCGAGTACCGAGTACCGAGCTCCAGGCTCCGGGTTCTGGGTGTTGAGTACCGAATTCCAGGTGTGTGATCCAGGTGCCAAATGCCGAGTGCCGGGCATTGACTACCGAGCTCCGAGTTCCGGGCCTCAAGTACTGAGTGTCGAGTACCGAGTGTTGAGTACCAAAACCCGGCATACACATTTTGTAAATTGGACAAATCACCATACTGAGTCCCGAGTACTGAGTACCGAGTACCGAGCTCCGGGTTCTGGGCGTTGAGTACCGAACACCGTATACCGATTACCGACTTCTGGGTGTACAATCTGGGTGCCGAATGCCGAGTGCCGGGCATTGACTACTGAGCTCCGACTTCTGGGCCTCGAGTACTGAGTGCTGAGTACTGAAACCCGGAATACACATTTTGTAAATTGGACAAATCACTGTACTGAGTACCGAATACCAAGCTCCAGGTGCCGATGTCCGGGTGTCGAGTACCGAACACCATATACCGATTACCTGGCTTCCGGGTGTTTAGTGCTGAATGCCGAGTTCCAGGAGTGGAGTACCGAGGTCCGGGTATCAAATGTCGAACATTTGCCTGTTTGATGCTTGATTATTGGCACTTAACATTGGTAATTGGTATTTGACAGTAGGTACTATCACATGGGTACTAAGCTATGTGCCTGTTCTATCCTTGCCAGGATGGAGTATGTACGCTGATCCATCCTAGCCCATCCACATGAGGGAATCCCGGCATAAATATGAACAGAATCCCTCATGTACCATGCCCAAGCAATTCTATCCCCTTCCACTTCATGAACCCCATGTCTTACGATCCTTCCTGAAAACGCGATCATACAGCCGGGCTCATACATGAACTCCAGCTGAAGACTTGGCATACTCATGCGAGCATTCGAATAACTACCCACGGTGGTGAGAATATCGAAGCATTCAGGAATGGATATGTGGTCTCGATGATTGGGGGTTTGCTGATTGGAAATGACGGTGAGGGTGTTAAACACGGATGCCCAGTACTGGAGGGTCTCTGACATCCTCGGAAGATTCTTGCTTTCGGCTGATTGTCCAAGGCTTAAAAAGGCTCGTATCCCAGCCCAGTACTGCTCAGGATGCATCACCCTGAGTGCGGCTGATGCGATGGCTGCCGGCCTGGCAATGGCTTTGAGAATATTCTCGGAGAATGGTCCCTTCAATGAGGCAGATACCGCCAGGTCTGACAGATTCTACCGGATTGGTCAGTGTAACTATCAGAAACCACCATCTCATGAGATCCCACCTCATGCCCCTGTTGAAACCAAGCCGGAGATAGATTGATGCATCCAGGAAGATATGCCATCATTTTCCGAGCTTGGTTTGAACCAATCCTGATTGGTCCACCAACTCCCATCAACCTTTACACTTTTTGCAAGGCTTGGACTGAGCAAATTGGAGGCTGCCAGAATTTCCTTCTGGAGTTCCCATTTCATATTCCATATCCATCGAGTAACAAAATATGTTACCCACCTGGGTGGTTTCCGTCAGGGCATCCGGGAGGTACCACACAATGATGGCACCGGTAGCATCGAGAACTGTCGCAGGGTATGTCGACCAACTTTGTACCTTCATGGCCAGGAGGACACCTCTCAAGCAACCTCGCCTCTCTTTCTTCATTATGTCCAGTGTCCTTCGGGGAGATCATTTTGCTGTATCTCGCAATATCAATCTGCATCCGAACTGTGAAGCAATTTGAATGATCAAATGGACTGTCCGAATCTGCGGGAAGACCCACTGGGATTGTTATATGCCTTTATGAGGCAATCCACCAATCGATCACAAGCCATCACCAGATCGGTGTCTAGCTTAGGAGAAGGTATGACTGGGTCTCCTCCTGTTTTCTTGGCAATGAATTTCTGTTCGGTATATTCACATGCCTCATGAGTGACTGTCAAGGCCCAAGTGCGCCAGAAGGTTATTTCAATATTGGAGGTGGAAGACACATTCATGATGGTGTTGATCTTGGGAAATCAGATGGTCAATGCCGGATGTCCACAGACTTTAAAGGTGGTGGAGATAGGGTGGATCAGATAGGGAACCTTGATTTTAGCTTTCAAAGATGGATTATCATTTCATTGCTATACTAATATGTCAATGAAATACCGGATAATGGGAAGGGTGCTAGATATCAAATATTTGAGTGTCGGGACCCGGGACCCGGGACTCCCGGATCCCGGAACTCGGTACATGATGGTTGGTTCATTCAAATTTCAGTAGTTGGAACTTAGCTTTCAAAGACGGATTATCATTCATTGCAATGTTAGTATGTCAATGAAATACCAGATCATTGGAAGGGTGCTAGATATCAAATATTTGAGTGTCGAGACCCGGGTCCCAGAACTCAGTACATGATGCTTGGTTCAGTCAAATTTCGGTAGTTGAAACTGACCTTTCTATGATGGATTATCATTCATTGCAATGTTAGTATGTCAATGAAATACCAGATATTGGAAGGGTGCTAGATATCAAATATTTGAGTGTCGAGACCCAGGTCCCGGAACTCGGTACATGATGCTCGGTTCATTAAAATTTTGGTAGTCGGAGCTTGGCACTTGGCACTCAATAGTCCCACCCGTCTATATCATATAATAACCTTGGCCCACCCGTCAACATCATATACATCTGGGCCCACCCGTCAACATGATGTGTCTGGGCCCACCCATGTATATGATAACAATTAAACTCGATGCCCGGAACTCGGTGCCCGGAACTCGGTACTCGGTACTTCGTGATTTGTTCAATTTATGAAATACCCGGAAGTCGATATTAGTTACCTGGAACTCGATATTAGTTACCCGGACATCAATAGACGTTACCCAGAACTCGATATACTGTTACCTGGAACTCGATAGATGTTACCCAGCCCGTGGATATGATATCAACCATCTCAGCCCACCCATCTATATAATATACTACTACCTCAGCCCATACGTCTATATAATATACTACCACCTCGGCCCATATGTCTATATGATATGTATCTGGGCCCACCCGTATATGTGATATCCAACTACCTCAGCCCACCCATCTATATAATATCTAATAAATTGCTCTCTCGGCCCACCCGTCTATATTATATACCCCCACGTCGGCCTACCCGTCTATGCAATATACGACGACCTTCGGCCCACCCATATATATAATAAATATTTTACTGCTCCCTCGGCCCACCCTGTATATATAATAAATATTTCACCACTCCCTCGGCCCACCCGTCTACAAAATAATACCAATATGTCGGCCCACCCGTCTACAAAATAATCTTAATTTGTCGGCCCACCCGTCTAATATGATATATATCTGGGCCCACCCGTCTATGTGATAACAAGCACCCTTGACATACCCGGCTATTTGATACACATCTACCTTGGTAAACCCATCTACATAATATCCAACTACCTCGGCCCATCCGTCTATTGAATATTCATGTCTATTGGCCCACTCATCTACTCTACATATTCCCTACATGGGCCCACCCGTCTCCATCAGGAATAATAACACTCCCAGCCCATCCGTCATAGTCTAGGATATATCTACCTTCGGCCCATGGTCCACTGGCCCATATCATATGGGATATTATGCACGTCCGTTCACTCGTATAAT